ATTAACTTTGCGAAGTAGGAAAAAACTCTTTTCTTATAAAATTAACTTTTATCTTTGAAGTACAGCGCTCCAAAAATAACTATACTCCTGAATTAATTGGAGAAATTCCGAGGTAAATAATTGCATTACCAGGGTAAAAAAAATATAACATAAAAAATAATAAAAAAAAATAAAAAAAATGAAAAAATAAAAAAACGAGGAAAAATACTTAACATCTTTATATAACTTTAAAGGATATTACATCAATCGCTCAAAATTAAGATTGGATTTTTCAAACCTAGTGCTTACTAGAATTCATGATGCGCCTATCTGTAGGAGGGAACAAACAGCGGGCTGATTATTGAAATTGATAGACAAAGCTATATACAAGGAAGACAAACTGAAAATAAAGCGATTCCATTGGTGGAAGTGGGTAGATGCAATGGGCAACGAAGGTAAGTAATTGACTAACTAACGGCGACGCACGAGATTCTCCTATAGTTAATCTATCATTTTCTCCCTTAGTCTATAGGAATCAACTATTTCAACCAAAAGGATCGCTCCGCACTCCCTATGTTTTCTATCAATTTTTCTATCTATTTCAATATTCAGCACGCAGCAAACACATTCCGTTTACATGATATAAACCAAACATTTGGTTGATCGGTGAAGAATCATACCCACACATCCCTGTAGGAGCACATGATAAAATCCTTGATTTTTACCTCAATCTGGGCCTCTAGCTGATCAGGGCCAGTGACCAGTCTGTAAACTGATACTTTTTTCTATAGAGGAACAAGAGTTGTAGCAGATGGTGAAAGTGAAGAACTTCGTGATTTTTATCTGATTGTGGGTAATCCGGATAATCAGCTATCAATCGCTTGTAGTGGTTTTGGGATGTTTCTTCATACTCCCGTGCTGAAGAAAAACGTCGTATGAGCGCATCTAAATGTACCCGAATGTCTCCTTATAAAATATTTATTTTTGACGAAAATCTGGATATTTTCATTGGTATTTCTTATACCTACATTAAATTGCGAATAAAATTAAGTCTAAAAATCGAAATATTTTTCTAGTTCCAAATACGGGAAATATACAATTATGTATGACACCTGTAAATAAGCATTATCTTTAAGTGCAGCAATTATTGTAATTATATTTGAACTTTTATCTTTTAGTAGATTGCACTGAACAGGCCTTCAGGGTTTCCAATCTGTCATTGGATTCTCCAACTTGCAAAAGTTAATAAAAAATTTTACTCATTAAAAAAATAAAAAATTCTAAAAATTCTCGAGTTTTCCCGAAAATTCTCAATTCATCAAATGAAATTTAGAGACGTCTACAGGTTTTTAAGGCGTTTTTCTTAAATAAAATTTCATTAGAGCCAAAATCGATATCAATTTGGGATGCTCGATTGCACATTGAGATTTTAAGGAAGAGAATGACTACGGTATTCACATTCAAAACATGAGGATTAAATTTCGAGCCAGGATAGAGTCTTTTGAGACCTATCTCGTGAGAAAAAATGTGAATGAGATATAAAAAATAATAAAAAATTACAGTTCACATCACAATAATTGCTCCAGACGACGGAAATGATGAACTGACCTATCGACATATTTGGATGGCTATTCAACCAGCAATAGCTTAATTAAACTTAATATCATACGGTATGAATTTTTTTCATTTTTTAAAAATGTTTCAAAGACACAATCCAGCGATACAATTTCTTAGAGCTTTCAATGGATTCCCCTAACACCAAAAAGAAAATTCAAAAGGTTTTGAAACAAAATGTTGTCTAATTGTAAGTGTCTTGCCACAAAATTAAAGTGAGAGAGGAAATTAGGCTGATCGTTAATGCTGCCTTTTTTTATCTCAAAAATGTTTGTACGTGCTACAAGTGTAAATTTAACTACCTACTGAAGAATTTTTAATACAACATTCAAGAACCATTAGTGAGGACCAATATACTTTGAATCCATGTATTCTTTTACTTGTATTAGTTAAATACCTCAATATTGAATGCACCAGAGCAATGATTGAATCCTTAAATTAATTCATCAATTCAACACAGATTCCTTAAAATGGCAACTTTTATCATGATTGCTTTGTTCTGAATATAAACACACTAGGCCTCTTTCAGATGCTCCAAATTTTGAGACTGTCCATGAGAATAGGGAGTGAGGTTCAAAAAATTTCCCTTTTCCTCTATATAGGTAACATCAATTTTTGAGGAAAATCATGAGTATTTTTTTTGGAATTTTCTTTGAACTTCAAGTTAAATCGCTTGCAAAATTGTGTGAAGAATTCGAAGAAAAATATACATTATTTTTCAAGGTGACTCAGTCTCAGTAGCAGAAAATTGGCGACATCTGAATAATTATATGACGCTTTCCCTTAGCACGGCAGGACTGGAGTTTGGTATTTCTGCTGTTAAAAATTATTGAAAATAAAAATATTTTATTCCTACATCAAAGATTAGATCAAGTCGATTTCGTATCCGTCGCAAACAATCACCGGCAATTTTCAAGCGGCAGGATTTTGCGGTAATATACCTACTACAAAACCGGTTAAAGGCTCCTTCATTTTCCGTAATACTTCACGCCTTGCCACGCAGTTAATTTAGTTGCCTATCCAACTCAAACCCAACCGATGACACTGATTTTACTATTCATACACACGCGTTTACAGCACGAGCAAGAGAGAAGCGTTTATTACTATTTCAGGCTAAATAATCCGTACTTTTCCTATGTTTCTTTATTTCTACGTTTTATCACAACCTAATTATTACCACTAGATTTTGAAGCAGTTGCCGGGTATCGCTGATTGCCTGCGACGTATACACCTTCTTCGTAGTCAAAGATGACTATATTTCAGTTGAATTAACTCTACCCGACTCTGAATAACTACAGATGATTCTGTCATGACTCAATTTCAGTGAAAAAATTCCTACAAACTAAATCTGATTTAACTCGATCCACGTGTCAACTGACTCGACTTGCCTTCAATGTGAAAAGCAATATTATTTTTTGTCTTTTTCTTTCCTTTATCGCCCCATTATTTTTATAATCAGGTGTCACAAATAGATCACGATTAATGAAATATGCTCGATCATGCAATCCGCGGATCGCGTGATCAAAGTGGTATTTTTTGGAAAAAGTCAGGAAATTTTCAGGAAAATTGAGGGTATTTTTGGGAAAAGTGAAAATATGCCCGATATATAATGTGATCCGCGGATTTCGTGATCAGTGAGGAAATTTTTGGGATATGTCAGGAAATTTTCAGGAACAGTGAGGGAATTTTTTGGAAAAGTGAAAAACATTTTGGGAACTGCAGCGACGTCGAAAAATATTTTGGTAAAAGTTTCGACGGATCATCGATCTTTTCGACTTTTCAAGGGACATTCCGAGCAAAGTTCTAAAGTTTTTCAATTGTGACAACCAATAATAGGGATATGATTTAGTTGGTAGCAACCAATAAAAAGAATCAACTGGCTACACAGGAAAGAAAAATGTAATCAAAATGACACTCGATCAAGCGGGGGTGAGAAATCTCCCCGATCATGCGGTCCTCGGATCGCGTGATCGTTTTTTTGGAAAAGTGAGGAAATTTTTGTTCAAAGCGACTTCGAAAAAAATTTCGGTAAAAATTCCTACGATTTATCGATCTTTTCGACTTTTCAGTGGACGTTTCGAGGAAATTTCCAAAAGTTAGAAGCCAAAAAAAAATTATCTTTTGAAAATTTTAGGAAAAAGAGGACATTTTTTGGAAATGATCCCGGATCGCATGAAATGCTCGGCCATAATTATGACACTTTTTGCACCTTTTCGATCAAGAGAACCAACACATAACATAATATTTACACAAATACACAGTTGAAAACTGAGGAGTGAAATTCGGTACCGGAGTCTATACAGCGCCCGAAAACCCAGAGTGCAATGAATGCGAAGTGAAAATAACCCCATAAAACCGTATGACATTCTTCCTTAATAGTGTAAGTCACTCCGCAAGGAAAATAAATTTCGCTCCGTACTCATATGTTTTTGGGCGCTACGTAGACTCCGACACAGAATTTCACCCCAAAATTTTTGACAGTGTACACTGTACACGGGGAAAAAAAAGTGTTAAGGGTTATCCCTTAAATTAATTGAGGCACCACTCCAATTGGTTGAAAAATATGGACTTTTCCAATTAATTGTAGTGGTGCCGCAACTCAAGTTGGGTCAACACCGTAATCTTTGGGTTAGTAACCTGGGGTATACTACAGCACCGAGAAAAATCATGGCTTATAAATCAATTAGAGGCTCATTATGGAACAACACTAATAGATACCTTAGTATGGTTCACAGACCAAGAATCTTTAGTTCATTTTATGACTATTAGTGGTGTTCCATATGAACCACTAATGGAGAATTTCCAGGCAAATTTTTTATTGCTTCATCTGAAAGTGCTTAAAGAGCTGAATTCACAGTATTTTTTATAATTTTTTTCTGATATGGGAAATAGTATAAATAGATTTAAAAGTGAGAAAATGCACTTCTTGACGACGTCATTTGGCGGCATTTCACACATATTTTAGCAGATTAGTTCATTTTGTCATATCTTCTCCAATAATTGTTCAATTCATGAACCAAGGGTATCCTCGTGTTCAGTTCACTCAGTAGTTTCCGCACTTAAACACGAAATGCATCCAATTTCAGACACCTGCAAATTCTCTATTAGAGGCTCATATGGAACACCATACTAATAGATGTGAAGGCAACACATATTAATAGCATACCATGGTGATGGTATATATACGTTAGTATGGTACGAGATACTTCAGTATGGTCCACAGACTGAGAATCATTAGTCCATTTATGACTATTAGTAGTGTTCCATAATATGAAATACTAATTGGTTAATGAAGCCATAGATTTTTCTCTGGACAATTAATTGGCAATGCCCATATCACCCAACGACTTTGACATTTTCCCCGTGTAATTTTGAACATTAAAACTGAAAAAAGTGACGTGACTAACCTGGCGGGCTATGCGCCTCGGGGCTCCCCGGAAACGCGGGCAGCAAGGCGAGCTGCTGGGGGGCCGGGGGGTCCCTGGGGGCCGCCGTGGAGGACCCGTTGTACATCAGCCCCAACTCCCTGGCCTCGTTCTCCTCCTGGGCCTGCTGCCTCCGGAGGGCGACCTGTGCGGCCATGACCCGCTGCCGCTCGGCGATGAGCGTGCACTTGGCGCAGACACAGTCCCGCCATCGGCAGTACCTCTTGTGGCCCTTGAGGGCGGACACGACCCCGTGGTTGCGGCACCGGGCGCACTTGGGGGTTCGCTGGTAGCGCTCGCTGGCGCGGAGGAAGAACGCGGGCGGGAGCGCCCCGAGCACCGGGTGCTGCTGCATCAGCGACGAGACGTCCACACCGCTCGGTAAACTCATGACTGACTAACCACCCTCCGCTCCGCGCCAGGGGTTGGCCCGGCCCCGCCCCCGACGTGCATAACTGTATCTCTTCGCCGCGCCGATGCTCATTGGTCCGCCGCCGACGGAGCTCCGCCCTCCGAGGTGTAAACAGTCTCTTCCCACAAACAACTTTTAATGTGATTCTGATGCGAGTTTCATTGTGAATACAATACCTGTCCCCCCTCCGCGCCCCCTCTCCGCGAGTCCAGGTCCCGCCTCGTATTGGCTCACAATTCATTATCACTTTTTGAATAACTTGTTTCGCCGCCGCAGCGTTGTCGGATTAGGGGGCCTTCCTGACTTTCGTGACGCTTGCGTTACGTTGCGTTAAAAGAAATTGTCAGTGCCAGCGTTACGTAACTCACAATTGGACGTATTTCTGCCAAACGGAACTATGTGCATCATGACGTGAGCCCTGTTATGCATTTATTCTTATGGGTCACAGGGCTCATGTCTTAATGCGCATAGTTCCGTTTGATAGAAATACGTCCAATTGGACAACATTTTGCAATTTGGAACTATAAATTCTAGCCCGGTTTAAAAACAACGTATGTGCCATTAGTTTCCCCTTGCACACGAGTGTTTTTCCTTCAGAGTCAGAATTCATAGTTCCAAATTGCAAAATGCAGTCCAATTCATTATCACTTTTTGAATAACTTGTTTCGCTGCCTCGGCGTTGTCGGATTAGGGAGCGTTCCTTGATTTCGTGACGCCTGCGTTACGTTGCGTTAAAAGGAGGTGTCAGAGCAAGCGTTACGTAATTCTCTATCGGTAAAAACCCACCTAGGATTCGAGATATATCTTCATCATACTTCCGGTGATATTTGCCACACATCATTGAAATACTTCAAATTTTATCCAGCTGTATATTCCATACAGTTCCCCATAATTTTTGGGATCTTAAAGAGTGCTCGGGGCTTTGTTACGTGCAAAGTTTTACATAATTTACGAACGCTTTCTCAAAGGTCACAGATCTCAGGGACCCGGAAGCATAAGGAACTACCCCCGTGACCGCTATATACTTGCAGTGTGAGGAAAAACGCCGTATGAACGTTCAGGCGTTGCCAAATTTCCTCTGGCAAATCACTAATTTTCAGGAATTTTTTTGAATTTTCTCCCGCCGATTTTTTCGGCCTAATCACAAAAGCGCCTATCTGCACGAGGCAATTAATGGTGTATCATGGCTAACGCACGATACCGCCTTTCTGCAATCAAACGATTACCTATGCAGGACGAAAAGAAAACTTCGTCATTTTTTTTAATTTTAAGGTTAGATTTGCATTTTAACATACATTACAGCGTCATTGAGGCGCTTCCGTACAGAAGTACAGGCTCGGACTGGCCAGAGGGTCAATCTGCCATTGGCAGATACTCCTCCTTGGCGCGTCGAAAACGCAACCCTCTAACAGATAGCAAAATAAGAAGAGGAAAAAAAATTACGACCGAGAATATATGCGGAAAATGTCTTAAATGAAAAAATGAAGAAGAGGAGGTTTGGAGTAAAGAAAGGTGCTTTTGCACAATACAGGTAAACAGAGGTCCAGGAACTACTTTCTGAGGAGTTAACACTTTTCTGTTAAATTCTTACCTTTTTGTTGACATACAGGCGCTTTATCATCCCCCTTCTTCATTCGCTATATGTGTAACTCCTTTGGAGGCGATGGTAGGATCGAATTTCAGACATACGCACCCTTTATAGACCTCTTGAGAGACCTTTAAACATATTTCTTACTTTTTCAAAACGACTATTGATTTGGACATACCATAGCATATTTCGGGCAAACTTTACTTTACTTTATCTCAAAATTCAAAAATAAGAAACATCTGAAACATCAAAAGTGTAAACGCGAAACAACTATTCGCGCAAGATGGGTGCCCACATTGCATATGAAAAATGTAAGACGCGATGTCATGAGTCCTGAACTTGCAATGCTCTGCTGTATGCTACTAGTTTGAAGCACCATTAGGAGTATGGCAAACAAACACAATATGGAAATAAAGCGAGGGAAAGGATGAATGTTAACGACGGTGCAGAGATACAACTATTCGTACTTGATGGATGTCCGTGTTGCGTCTTCAAACTTGAAGGCGCGATGGCACGAGATGTGAATTCGCAATGCTGTACTCTATGCGGCCGATGAGGTGTCGCTCAGATTCGTGAGAAAATTTAAAAAACGAGGGCCCGATTACGTCTCTCCTACCTGCGGCTAAGTTACACACAGCTCTTGAAGCACCACTGCAAATAACACAAACCGCGAAACTAACATAAAATGGAAATAGAGCATGGCGAAGGACGCATGTTAACGACGGCGCAGAGATACAACTATTCGTACTTGATGGATGTCCGCGTTGCGTCTTCAAAATTGAAGGCGCGATGGCGAAGGCGCGAACTGGCAATGCTCCGCTTTACGCTGTCAATGAGGTGTCGCTCAGATTCGGGAGAAAATTTAAAAAAGAGGCCCGAGTGCGTCTTTCGGGTCTTCGGTTGTGTTGATACTCGTTCTATCTTCTTTTTTCAGGTTCTTGTCTGATTCTTTTTTAGATGGATTTGCAGACCCACGTCTTCAGCTCGTGTAAACCGCAGCACTGGCTCGGTTCTTTTGGAAATAATGGTGGTTGGGTGCGTCGATAGTCGCTTTAATTTGTTATGCTTTCTTTAATTTCAGAAGTCTGTCGGTTACTTCAATACGTTCAATATTGAAATTTTTACTCTGTACGATTAATACACTTTGAACCTGAAAATAGCGTAAACTTGTGCTGCTTTCCCAAAATTTTCTGAATCCCTCTCCACGTAGCTGATGCCCTACAAGGAAATATCACATTACACCCCTTTCACCATTCAAGATGCGAGCCAGCCCGACCCTGGAATTGTAAGAGAACTAAAATCATCAACTTGCGATTTTTATATCGTAGAATACAGCAAAGTCGCTAACTTTTGATTGCCAAAATTGTCAGTCAGACAGTATTGTTTATTAGCCCTCGATGTACGTTGTTTCTAAAATGAGTCATCAGGAATTGTAGTTCCTTATCGCTAAATATAGTCCATTTCCTCCCTCAAGAAGATACTGGAAACAGTAAAGAGGAGAGGCGAAGAAACACGGAAGAAAATAAGTTGGGGTATGTTCTTGGGGTAGTGTTGCGCCCGTCGAACGATCCGAAGACGAAAGGGCGAATGAGAGGTGAGGATGGCGTGGAATTTCCCGGGGGTTATTTATTTTCTTGTCCCCCCCCGTCCCTTTTCCTCACTCAAGACCCCTTCCCTCCCTGTTCGACCGAAGTTTTCAATTTACACCTCCGAGCTCCGTCGCGGCCCCGACCGCAAACCGTCGCACAGTGGATCGAGTCAATCAAAGAGGTGGGACATTAAATTTTTGACTAAAACTGCAACTTTTGATGTTTATTTTGTCACATTTTAAATTTCAAAGGGTGCAATCCGAGGAAAATTTCACGCGAAAACTAATGAAACCAATTTTAAAACCTCAAAGTTTTGTATAAGTGGAGTTATAAGCTTTTAAAGTTTCCAAATTTTGTCCGACCGCTCCTATCGACTCCACCCACTGTGCGTCTCTTCCATATTATCCCCGACCAGGTGACGATGAAACTTGTGACGAATTCTCCAGGTCGATAATCTCGATTTAGTATAGAATTTATATCGAAAAGATATCGATAAAGCCTTATCGTATCACAGGGTGTCTAGCGACCGGGGAACCCGGGAAATTTCAGGGAAATCAGGAAAAACGTCAGGGAATCCGCAAAAATTTGCCATGAAAGGGAATTTTATTTTGCAAGCGATTTTGAGTCACACTGAAAAAAAAAGACTCTTAAATTTGCCGCCAAGAGGTATTTTTTCTCAAATCAAGACTTTTGCTGCTTATTACAAAATACTTTTTTGCTAACCCTAGCATTATTTTTCTTGTATCGAGAAAAATTCAGCTTAAATCAAGATGAAAAATTCTTGGCGGAAAATTCAAGAATCATCATGCTTGTGCCAAGCACATTTTTTTCAGTGAGGGAAATCGAAAAACATGGATTTTCCGAAAAATATTCCGCGAATTTCAATCAAGTTTTGGAAAAATGGAACCGATACCAAAGTTCCTACCAGAATTTCTGCGAATGTCTTTTAAATTTTAAAAATGAGACAAAAATATCTCATATAAGTTTAGGTACCATATATTTTTGCTCTATGTTTATTACATTATATTACTTAAATATGGGAATCTCTTATTTACATCTAACCAGTTCAACAGTGTCTAAAAATTAGGAATATTTTTCCTTTTTGTCTGGGAAATTTCAGGGAATTACTTCTCCTGCCTGTCAAGGAATATTAAAATTATTCCCGGTTTTATGACTGTTTTCCAGGGAAGTATTCGATGACGATGCAATACTCCAGTTATGCTTGGCTACGAGAAAACTTAAAAGCAATCCCCTGGATTAAATGAGCCAAATTTTGTAATGAAGAACTACTACAATTTTTCGCTCATTTTTGAAATGACGTGTGTGCCATTCGTTTCCCTGTGTACATAAGTATTTTTATGGATGAGCCTAGTTCAAAATGCAAATGCAAATGTTTTCCTAGTTGCAAAATGTGGTGCAAATGGAACCATGAACGAGGTCATAGACCCATTAAATGATACGTCTTTCTTTATCGAATTGGTAATTAGATGAAGGAGGTACATTGGTTTTAAAAATCATACACTTTTTAGTGTTGATATATGTGTATGCGTGAAAAACATGTACAATAGGCATTACTGTGTTTCTAAAATCCAGTTTTGAGCCCAAGCTTCAAATTATGGTAGAGGCTGTGATTTCATTAGTTTATAAGAGAGGAATGAGCATTTCTGAAATCGTCATTCCAAACGTCTAGCTAACCAAAATATCAAAGTCTACTTGAATTAAGTCGGTTACAAAATTACAGTGTAATCTGCGACTGCAATATCTTTCCAGGACGCTGATTTTGTCTTGAAAGTATTACTTAC